ACAATGTAATTTAGAAATCTAACCTCAAACCAGTCCGAGCAGCCTGTATCTTTACTTAATTCTTCATTCTCCGCTTTGGCAAGACTATTCTTAAGATATGAGCAAAACAAGAATATTGGATCCCAACTTAAAGCAGTAGTCCGAAGAACATTCCGAACTATTACAGGATGGCCTTTACCCCCAATGCTTCTGGAAGTGTTCCAGGTTATCACCATGAATGTTCAAGTTAGTGGGGTAAAATAGGAAGTTATCATTTGAATTCTCTCTCCTGGAAGCCTCTTGCAATTGCTTCACGCCTTTGGCTTCATAATCCGTCGAAGGACATAGGAGCAACATGAAAAAGTATCAAATGCTTCTGGCAATTCATAGCTGCCAATTTTTCAGCGCTTACTTCCAGCTCTTTGAACCAACATAGCGGCAATACATCTCAGATCAAGAAGGCCATCACCACAACCACCAAACTCTCTGGTGGGCATGATACAGGAACACTGCCATCAGGAGCTTTCCGACTAGGCAATGATACAGAAGAATCAATATTCGTACCCTCTGAAGTTTGCCTAGTTATTCTTAAGGATTTCCTATCCGAAAGGCAAATGCCAGACAAACAAGGTTTCCTTCTCTTTGGGCATTTGCGTTAAGTTTTTTGATACTTCCAACTAAATTCCCTTGAAAGATATCCCAACAACAACTTAAGCAGAGACTATACGAACACTTTGGGCAACTTCTATGGAAATCCAGAATGAAAGTCTTGCACTTACTGCTGCTCCAGAAGTAATATCATCACCGAACGGAAACTAAAACAAATTACATAATTTTATCGAATACATTTTAAGCAGAAAAGAGCATACCAACAATATTCCTTATTGCCACCAAATTCAGCAGGTTGGACTTGAATATCACCGAGGTTTTTGCCTATGACACACAAGAAGACATCACAACCTCTTCTTCTGAATAATAGAAAGTGCTTTAATAAGAAAAATTCAAGCATCATTTAACTACCTTGTACTTTTGCCTCCACACATCTCAACACTCTGGCCTTGGTTTATTCGCTTAAAAACAGGAAGAAGCATGCAGATCAAATAATGAAAATCTAACATCTTTTCCACTTTGTTTTTGTCCCTTAGAAATTCCTGAAACATTTTTTTTGCAGAATTACGGTTAGGCAAAACATCAGATATAAGTGTGGGAAAATGCAAGCACCAGGTTGAAAAATGAAGTGTTCCAGATGATATCAGACCTTACATTCTGTCTCTCTATGTTGATTCACCGAGCAAGCTTTGCAGCGGCAAGTTCCACGACACACCGGACAAGCTATCTGAACTTCATCTCGCTTGAAAAATACCTGTATGCAATTTAACATCGTAAGAGTTAATCGACCTCTATGATTTAACTCCAACCAACTGGTTCAAATACATCACACTACATTCAAAACTATACAGACGAGACAAAGACTAAATACAAAGCCATAATGGGAAAGTATTCTCCAAAAACACTAGTTCAGGAAGGTCCATATGAGAAACTAGGTGAACAACTTCTAGAGAGGCCGGAACACGTACTTATGCCGTAAACTTATCGCATTTTATTAAACTATTCATAACCATGTAGCATAGGATTTATGTTCTATGTCAATAAACAAATACTTTACAATCACAATTCAAACAGAACTGAAAAAAGGGTAAAAGATAACGCACTGTTCTTTTATGCAATCCAAGCAAAAGAATTGCTCTTTACAACTGGAACACTTGCAAGTTAGAAGCACCACCCTTTCTACACCAATGACACCTTATTCTTCTCCCTCTCCTCAAATTTGTCTCATTCTTCTTACATGGCAGAACCTTCATTAAGGGGGGAAAATACCCCACAATTCAACAAAGAACCAGAAGAAATTTTTAAAAAAACTAAGGCAAACCAAAACCAAATATATACCTGCAATGTACCAACAGGTAATGGTTCAATGTTCTTAGACCTAAACTGCCTTCTGGCAATTGCAACAGTATTAGTTTCAGTTTCTCCTACTTTAGCATTAATACAAGAACCTGAAACAGAACCAGAACCCGAAGCAGAACCGGACCCAGAACATGAACCTGCATTATCGAAATGTGGACTTGAGGAAGAAATGGCCATCAACCATTAGGCAATTCTCTCATCAAGTCACCTCTTTCTCTCCATCATCATCATCAGAATCACTACGCTCATTTTCTTTCTGCTTCTTCTTATTTTTCTCAGCTTCTCTCTTCAAAACCATTCTTATGAGCTCCAATGGCAAATCCCCTCTTTTCAGCTTCATCTTACGAACAGCTTCGTCTAAAGCCTCGGATGCCTCAGGTTCCCCTCCGATCACTCGCTTCCGCTTCATCGGCCTCGCTAATTTCAGCAACTTTGTCCTAATTTCCAGCTTGTTCTTCTCAAAGGCCTTCTTTTTCCTCTTTTTCCTTTGCATTTTCATGGATTCGGGCACTTTCTGTTTATTCTGTCGGTGACGGCCTTGGATATGGTGAAGCTCGCACAGCTTTTTCCCTTCCATTACTCGTCGCTTGCACCGCCATTGTCTCCCGTCGGTTCGATTGCACCGGAGATGGTCCGGTATAGCACTTTCTTCATCCATTCCGTCTCTTTGTCTTATTTTCCGGTAAAAAATCAAATCTTTTTCCCGGAAAATAATGGGATTCTCGAGAAAAAAACAGGGAAAACGATTTGGGTCTGGAGTGTAAAGAGGAGAAAGCTGGTCTTTTTGGAAAGGGTTAGACGAGTTGGGGGAATTAAGGGTATTTTGGGATTAGTAGAGAGAAAGAGTGAAAGGGAAAGTGGCAGATACAGTAATTTTGAGGAAATAAAGTCCTGTTTGGTTCCGAAAACTTTCTAAACGGTGCAATGAGAGCAAGCTGTGACCGGGAAGCTTGACAGTTCGAGACAATTAAGGAGTCACTCTTTTGGGTTTTTCTCAGAAGTCGCATTTTTTGAGGTTTCTTTACTAATCAGCATTTGAGTATGCAACAGTTAATTATAGCAATGGCCAATTGCAGTAGCGGCTTTGAGTAAATGCTCACAATATTAATGTCTTATATGAATCATTCAGAGAAAAATGTTGCTGCAGTTCTCTTGGGGTACTCGATAGTGTCACATTGAGTCTCGACTAATCAGATCTTACTTATAAGATATCGAATTTCTTATCACTCACATATATTAGTAATGGTTATAACAAACTTGTATAGCACCATGCAATCAAACTCATTCTATATCAGAATATGAAGCAGAAACCAGGCAGTCATTTGCAGAATTGGGAAATCAAATGTATGCAGTAGGACAGGAAATCCGATCATCTATGTTTTCTTTTGACAGTACTTCCTTTTGCTTAGCCAAATCTCATTAAAATCTGCATCACTATGATTCCAATCCTATAGACTTGCTACTATCATGGTTTATACCCTGCTGACATAAAGCAATGGTGTGCGTATGCAAATTTCTGTGGAACATTGGAAAACTTAATCCGTTTCTCGATATACACCATAGACTAAAGAGAGAAAAGTTTTGGTAGGCATTACAGGGCCCAGTTTTTCTCTGGTTCAAAATGTAACCTGATGCTTTGCTTTTTAACTCGAATTATTGGTATGGGACTAGTCGGCATCTGTTTTGATGATTTGATTTGGACAGTTGAGTGCAGCGCATTCGTCATTGCTGAATGCAACTATGTTTTTTTTCTGGTTTCGAACCATGTTTGCTTTGGCTTCAACAAATTGAATCAACTTGGATTATCTGATCGACATGTATAGATGGAATTGCAGAACATCCTAACTTACGTATGAGTTGCGGTGCATTTGACGAAACTGGTCGACTTGGGAAACACAGTGTCTCTCTTCGACATGCTGGTTCGATTGGGAAACTTTGGGTTGAAATGATTTCTTTTAGAACAGTAGGGAAGTCATCCTGTTTGCATTTTCGTTTTAATAGCACGAACTAAGCAACTGTAGTGATTAAATGGATTGGTTATTCTTAGAGATCTCGAGTTCGAGCACGTATGTTGGAGGGGTGCATGATGCATGCATTCGTACTCTCATATGAATCTCTGTCATTTATTTAAAGCTTCTGCAACATTAATTTATATTTATTAAGGATTTGGTTTAATGAATATATTAATGGGTTAAATACTCGTTTGGAAACAAAATTGTCATCCATATATATATATATATATATATATATTATACCACCATTGTTTGGCAACAAAAATGCCCCTCCACTCCTGAGCTGGCCATCCATGTTTTGTATAAAAATCCAGGCACCTGTGAGGTTTTCCACCACCTTTCTCTGATACGACGGGGTGGCTCGGTCGTCAGAGCTCTCGCTGATGGGCTTGCTTTGTTACCCAATTTGACTAATCACTCAGTCCATTTTCGCTAGAGACAGAATCAAAATCAAACAATGAGAGAATTAAATTCTTATTTCATAATTAACAAGCTGTTTTTCTGAACTTCCTCTGCTTTGGACCACTTGATCTTATGCTTCCTAGCTATAATTCCTCCTTTGATTCAATTGAAATATAGTTTGTTTATATGCTCAAGGATGCTGTTGCGATTTTTATTTTAATGAATGCGCTTAATTGATACTCATAACACAAAATGATTCAGACTCGAAGTTGAAGAAGACTCCCTCAGCCATTGCAACAGTGTCCGAAAAGAAAGACATCAAGCGTAGTAGAAAATTGATTGGTTTATGCAGTGAAAGTAGAAGGGTGAAGATAATCCATTTTGTTTAATGGGTTTTCTTTCTTTTTAAATGTAACCAAGGGAGCAGCTGTTAAAGGGACATGAACGACAGAACATGCTTCAAATGTTTAAAATAGTGTTACTTGTCAGTGTTAATGTCGAGATTCAAACTCGAAACATTACATAAAGAACATCAAAGTTCTCTGTCACTTGATAGTACCAAGTCTACAACAATGTGCAATAACATCTTCAACATTCAACCAAATGAGGCAGCAGCTAGAAATTAGAGATTGAAAAAGATTTAGTCGTGCCTAACATCATTGTAGGAATTACCCTGGTATATACAGGAACAAACGCCAGCAGAGAGCTGGCTGCTGCTGAAAACAATGAACCAATACCCTATTATGCTTTGAAGTTGTCCAAAGAACCAATGGATCCTTGATGTTGGCTTTTCTTCGATTTCGAACGGTGGATTCGAGCTCGATGAAGGTAATCTGTCGGTAGAAATAGAACCTAAGCTTTCCAAAATCGATGGTCTTGGAACATTGGGTACTGGGAGATCAATTCTGAATGAGATATTTTGGTCTGTTTCAGCATTGGATGGCTGGCAAGGTTCACTCTCCGGCAATGAATTCAGATCGTACTTGAAACGTCTTCTTAAATGAGCAAGCCAATGGTTTTTAATCTCATATCAGTTTCTTCCGGGCAATTTTGATGCGATCGCTGACCACCTGCAAAATTCACCATTGAAAACACTTTCAACTGCTAGAGCAATCTAGATTCAGAACTCTAAAGTGCTATATGAACAATCATAACCTTTCCACATGAAATTTGATTTAGATTCATGTATTAATCCCTATCTCTCAATTCCTAAATTCCCAAATCTTTCTTTTAATTCTCAAAGGTCTCGATACAAATTTCAGCTAAAAAAACCATTCGTCCAATTGCAGAAACTTACCTGTTCCAAGCTTTTCATGTAAATCAATTATTGCTTGCTCTTCTTCCTTAGTGAAATTCCCATGTTTAATTCCAAGCCTTAAGTAATTCACCCAACGAAGTCTGCAACTCTTCCCTGACCTTTGTAATCCTACAAAGTAAACAAAACACATAAAAAACAAACAAACAAATTGTAAAATAAAAAAAACAAAAGGATATTGCTCTTTGTTTAATCCACCTGCTGGTTTAGCCATCTGCCAGTTCCAAATCCCATATCTCTTAATATAAGCAGCAGTCAATTCCGATCTTCTTCAGGACTCCATGCCCCTTTTCTTAAAGCTACACTCTTTTCAACAGACTTAGCCATCTCTGCGAGCAAAAGTAAAACCCCAGATTTTGGCTGCTGAAGTTGCCTACATGACAGAAAAAAAGAGGGAAATCAGGCGGATAGTACAAAATAAGGGTCAGTAGCATACAGTTTCGAACTTTATTGTGCCTTTTTAAGAGACTGATAAATGTATTTGTTAATGGTGTGCTTGTTGAAGAAACTTTATTGAAAGCATGATTTGTTTAGAAAGGCAATACTATTTAGGATAATTTCTACTACAAGAGATTTTAGTTTTAGTAAGATTATAAATAGGTCACTAGATCTTTTTTAAAACTACAACATGTCATTCAATGAATCAATTGGTACAAACTCGTCACTCTTTCGTTAGTGTACAACGGAAGTTAACCTTCAGTTATAGTTGAGATTTTATTTTTTAAATATAATAATCAGTTCACTTAGTTTATCAATTTTTTATAATCGGATTACTCAATTATAACTTAAAAATCAATTGATTGAGTGATCGGTTTTAACTTTTAGTTTATCAATTTTTTATAATCGGATTACTCAATTATAACTTAAAAATCAATTGATTGAGTGATCGGTTTTAACTTTTAAAATCCGATGATTCATATGTGATCTTATAATTGATAAGTGATATGTTTGTAATTCTTTGAAATATGATGAACTAACATATCTCGTCATGTTAAGTTTGATGAACTAACATTTCCTTTTGCAGAACTGCAGTCCCCTCGTGTCTTAGCCAAGAAGAAGAATTCGCCTGCTTTAGACATAATTCTGCAACCACGACGGTTACATGTTCCTATGACTTCTTCACATACAAATACCTCTCCTGGGCTTACATTGACCCCCACTGCCTCTCGCAGTCCCATCGTGCCTATTGGGTCAAGCCTACAATCGGCAGAAAACCAACATGCCTATCCCTCGCAAGCATCGGTGTCTCCCTCTACAGCCTTGAATGAAGAAGCATGTCATGAGTTTCATGCATCTGAACAACCTGTAGATGAGCCGGTTGTGGTACCCGAACAGTTCGTAGCTGAGCCGACTGTGGTGTCACAGCTGAATGTGAAAGTCAATACGCATCCGATGTGCACACGCAGCTGGCTGGTGTTTTCAAACCCAAAGTTTTCCTCAGCAATCTTGATGAGGCTATCCCATAAACTGTTTATGAAGCTTTTCAGTCTGAGAATGGTCCGCACTGTTCATGATGAGTTTGAAGCTCTACAGCAAAATGGCACCTGGACTCTCGTCCAACTCCCAGAAGGAAGGACGGCTGTAGGATGTAAGTGGCTCTTCAAAATCAAGAAGAATGCTGATGGTACTGTGCAAAGGCACAAAGCACGCCTTGTGCGAAGGGGTACTCACAGGTACCAGGACAAGATTCCAAGAGACGTTCAGTCCTGTGGTTCGATTCTCCACGATCAATATCATCCTTTCACTGGCTGTGTCGAAGAATTGGCCGCTTCGACAAATCGATGTTAACAATGCGTTTCTCAACGACGGGTTGACTGAAGATGTGTTTATGAAGCAGCCACCTGGATTTGAGGTACACAATCCTGATGGCACACCCCTTGTCTGTAAGCTACAGAAGGCCCTTTATGGTTTACGACAAGCACCGCGTAACTGGAACAACAAGCTTCGAGATAGTCTGATTGCTCTGGGGTTTCGAGGGTCCAAAGCTGAAAGCTCCTGTTTATTACTGATCAGGCTGGCACTCGCACATTTATTCTTGTATATGTCGATGATATCATACTGATGGAGAATCGCTAAACCATATTGAGCATGTGGTTCGCGAACTCAACAAGCAATTTTCGCTCAAGGACCTTGGTGATCTGTCCTACTTTCTGGGTATTGAAGTCAAGCGTGAAGCTAACTCCATTGTTTTAAGTCAAAAGAAGTTTCTGCTTGATCTGCTGGCCAAAGCCAAGATGACACATGCTAATCCGACTGCCTCGCCTATGGTTGTAGCTAATAAACTCTCTAAGGATGAAGGTAATTTGTTAGTTGATGCCTATGAGTTTCGCAGCCTTGTTGGATCTTTGCTGTACATATGTCATACTCGACCTGATGTGGCTCTTGGTGTGAGCAAGGTTGCTCAGTACATGCAAGCCCCTCGCGAATCCCACCTTATGGCAGTTAAAAGGATTCTTCGATACTTGGCAGGCACAGTGGACTATGGATTGTTGTTCTCGACTGCTGGCTCTAATTTGTCTATTACTGCATTTGCGGATGCATACTGGGAGGTGATGTCGATGACAGACGGTCAATGTCTGGTCATTGTGATTCCTTGGCAAATGTTTGGTGTCCTGGCTATCAGGAAGCAAAAGACTGTTTCACGGTCAACCATGGAAGCCGAGTATAAAAGCCTTGCTGATGTTGCTGCAGAAGTCACCTGGGTGAATATTGTTCTCGCTGACTTAGGTGAAGACTCGAACTGCTTGAAATCAGTGGCTTCAAGATGATCCCCATGGCCAGCAAAGCCTGTCCCTCCTTTTTCCAAGGTAACCAAATTCCTCTCTTTGCATGGCTTGTCACAGACCAAACAAACTTTGTCGACGGCCAGAAACCTGTCAGCGCATTTCTTGCAAAAGACGTGCCCGCAGGAGCTAAGGGCTACCAGTGACAATGAGTTAGTCAGGGTGACCTTGCAGCTCGGACAAATATAAGTTTTATCAAGATCAGATTTCTTCTTTTCACTTTCATCTTCAGTGAAGTAGATAGGGAAAAGGGTCTTCAACTTGAGTTTTTCTTTGCCCTCCGGACAGATTGTGCTGGTGGAAGGAGCATCGACTTTAACAGGTGCTTCTGGAGTGGCAGAGGGAAGCCAAAAAGCTTTCATTGTACGGAGTGCTTCCTCTTCAAAAGAAGTGACCTTCACACTGTTTGCCCCATGGAACCCGTTCTTGTCTCTGCAGTGGTTTTTGTCATTGTATTGTGGTAAGGCACCATGATTTTGCTGATCAAACGCATCAAGCTCTCTTGCTTTCTCCAACATTAACCTCTCCTCCTCCTCTTCCTTCTCTTGTTTCTGCTGAGCAGCATGGGCCACTAGTTTCCTGCCAGATGAAGGAAAACATGTTTTCTGTTATTGACCCCATAAATGGCATCTTTTATAGTTGATTCGAGCACATCAGTTTATACTTCCATTTTTCAAAGAAAATCAAGTACAAAAAAAATCCACTTAACTAGCACCGAATCTTATTACTTAAATTTTTCTCTAATCATGTGAAAGGTTGTTTTCACATTCGAAAGTCGGGACTACCAACTTTTATTGCTATGCAGAATCCACCCTCACCCCCCAAAAAAGTTACTTAACATTAAATTTCACAAAGGCATATATATAAATCGTACTTCACTTCAAAGGGAAGGGAGGAAAGAGCAGAATCCACCCTTCAGCTCCTAACCTCCAGCCACTGGGTAATTACTAACAGAGAAGCTACTGATGTGAACAAATCGTTAAATAGATTAAATGAATAAGTCTTCCAGCTTATCATGAAATGAAACAGATTCAAGGATGACCTACAACCCCAAAAGGAATTAATCTCAAATACATGATTGCTGTCATTCTCAAAATAATCACCCGTAATTTGTGAAATGGCTATCGTAAGCTAACGGCTACATGCACAAGCGCACACTAACTGAAAGCATCCTTCAAATCCCTAAATATAGAACAAAAATGTCTGTTAGAAGCTAAAGAGTCTATAATCTACCATAGCCATCTTCTCTGCTTCCACATTCAGTTTTGTTTCTTTCAATTTCAATTCCGTCAAAGACAATTCAGGCCACAAATCATCAGCCATCACAATAAATGCAAGTCCCTATAATCCATTGAATACCCCAAAAAATCACATGCTAAAGATCTTAGACCTTAATTCTTTTTTTTTTTTTAAGAAATAACCCTTCAACAAAGGAATATAAAAAATTCTCTCACGTATCGCTTGTTACTTATTGAATTGCAACCTATAAACTAGTTATGAGTTGAATCAAGCCATTAACATGCATCCTAGACAAGAAATTGAGCAAAATACCAAATCAATGACTCATTGAGACAAACACTCGATGGTTCTGGGATAAAAGCGGTACCTTTGGATGTCCTTTTCTGGGCTAAAAGGCATTCAAGAATGCATTCTTTGCAAAAGACGTGACCTTTTTGGCAAGACACAGGATCGATGAAAGGCTTCAAGCAAAGGCAGCAAGCATCGAATGGCTTGATCGAGTCTTTTCCCAATCTCTCCTTTTGAGTCCCGTACCCTAGCTTCCTCTTCTCATCGTATGTAAAGAAAGCTAAATCGTTGTTGTTCTTCGAGTGTCTTTGTGGCATTTTGGGTTAATCTGAATTGGATGGGGGAAAACCCTAAGGCTAATTCAATTGAATTGTTATTTGGACGAGAACAGACCTAGAGATTACGAGAGTAGAGAAATTCAGAAACCGGGTCGGATTTAAAGGTGAGACTAAACCGACACTTCGTTTCTTGGGTAAACTACATTAATAGTCACCAACCTATTACTTATTTCCTATTTTGGTCACTAAACTACCTTTTAGTAAAATCATCATTAATTTATTTTTTTCTTATTGGGTTTCTGCATCTAATCATTGAATTAGGCTGAAAATTTATTACAGTTGCACCAAAATTATTATTATTTTTATTAGTCTAAAATGATTATAAAATAGTATTTGTTTGAAAGACTCTTAATCATTTGAAAACGAACGCTCAAACATTTTTTGCAGACGATGCTTGAACTCGAGACCTTTAAGAATAATAATATTCCCTTTAACCATTGAGTTGTTTGGTTTGTGAAAAAAATCATTAGTATTACTATTACAAGACCTTAAGTTCAAAATTTAGAGAGAATATTATTGGGAAAAATAACTTTGAAATTTTTAAATAGTTTAGGGTACTTACAAGGTAATATATGTTTAAAATTTTCTTAATTTATTGACAATATACGCATTCTATAGATGTAATTATTTAAATTTAGAATTTTTAAAGTAAATAATACTTCAAAATTTAAATATAAATGTAAAAGTAATATGACAGATAAAAAAAATAATGGAGAGGTTTTTTTTATTCAATCAGTTCATCACTGACAAATAAGGTGGCAAAAATGCCCTAAAATAAGAATTAATGCAAATGATGAAAATATTAGATTTCGCTAACAAAAGCTTCTTCCAACAATGTTCTCGAACTCTTCATCAAAGCAGGGCTCAACCTAAACATCAAAGTGCAAAATTCCATCTCATCCAACCCACCATCTCCATTCAAGTCCCCTTCTCTCACCATGCAGACCAGTTCATCATCGCTCATACCTTGCAACCCAAGTAACGCCAAGTTCCCCTTCAAGCTCTCCACAGTGATCATCCCTTTCTCCCCATCCATCAACAACCGAAACCCATTGCACAGCTCCTTCATGAACCCTTCTGCGCCTAATTTGTCCACCATTGCAGGGAAGAAATCCTCGAACACAATCTCATCTTGTGCTGCCATTTTTACAACAATGAATGCAGAAAAAGAAAAACCCTAAGATTCTTGAAATGGCATGCAGTGTGGGAATACATAAATGGTATTTATAACTTCATGTAAACAGAGATGTGGGAGGAACTAAGGATGGATTGTCGATGACAACGAGTGTACAGATAAGAGGAAGTTGTTGGGGAAGGTTGTTCTAGCCGGCGTTTTGCTTGGGGTATAAATTTGAAAGATGGCTTCGTTTTGAAAATGTTCTCTTTCCTCGAAGTTGCATGAGGGGTGGTACCGTTTGGTGACGCAGTTTTTATTCATGACCCAATGTTTTTGGATTTATGCGTGTAATTGCGTCCTCGGAAACCAAACCTACACTTCGCACTTTGCACGTCAGGGTCAAGAAACCTAGTTTATGCCTTTCTATTGATGTTACTAGCTATAAAGCTTGGTCATTGGTTTTTGGTCCTTGTACTATGCAGAAATTTGAAACTTAGGCATCATACTTTAATTTGACATAACTTAATATTCTTATTTTTTTAACAATGTAATTAGTAGTTGCCAGGATGGAACAAGGGGGCACTATTGAGGGGTGGTCGCCTCCCCCTAAAAATTTAAATTTATATGTATTTTAGATTTTTTCCTTTTTATTATTTAATGATAATCTGTTTTTATCCTCTAAAATTTTATAAGTTTTCCTTGCCCTAAAATTTTATAAATTTATCTTGCTCAACATAAAATTTTACGCCACCCTTAATAGTTGTTTAATGCATTGACTTAATTGCAAGGTTGAGGCCACAGGAACTTTGTGATCCTAAGTTCGAATCTCACTATGTATTAAATAGTATGCATATGTTCTCAATCTAGATTTTATTATGAATTAAGATGTGTCATGTCAAAGTGTCGATATAAAATTGTTTAAAACACCCCTTAAGTGTCCGACTGTCATGTAAATCTATTTATTGAATTAAGTTATTTGATCTGAATTCTTCTAATAACATCCACAAAACTTTCAATTGATACGTAAGATTTTCAGATAAAAATTCATGTCAATGCTTTAATGGGAATAGTCAACGGTGTTAACAATTTGGACTAACTAATAACATTATGAATAGGACCAAATTTTATATAAAATTAAAAGAAAATAAGGATTAAATTTTAAAATTTAACATGGCGAAAAGACCAAAATCAAAATTTGACCCATAACTCTTTTATTATTTGAAAATATTCCATTATGAGTAAGTTTTTTAACCTACAATGTTTGATACATGTATATATCACTTAGATTTTCATTATTTATAAATCAGAGCATATTAAATGGTTAAGTATATTTAGTAAATTAAATCAAATGGATGTTCCTTGTTCCCATAAGTAATGGGTAAGGGGAGGTAAGATAATAGATTGTTCCCAACACCAGGTTAAGAGCAGCTTCCGTAGAAGACCTCCGAATTATGAAATGCCCTCCGTGTGACTCGATCCCACGACCTCAAGATTAAAAACCTTGTGCTCTACCAACTGAGCTGGATAGTCATCTCTATATTTAAATTAAATCGATGGCTTCAAATAAATTGGATACGTCGCTTTCCTCTCCCGTTCATCGAAATGGATATATACTACATGCAAAGCACTATCGCTAAAATATGTACCACTGGAATAGAATAGTCGAAAATATCTTTTCAAATAATGTTGGACCACACACCTTCTTAATTGTGATTATGTTTATAAGATTTGAAAGATAATAAATTATTAAATTAATCTTACATTACTCGTATTAAACACATTATATATATATATCCTTATCTTATGTACCAACTAAATATATTATCTTTATCTTATGTTGTTTTAAGTGTATCTTAAGTCCACCTTCCATTAGTTAAACAAACTTGATTATCATACTTAATGACTTAAACAGTCTAATAATTTAGTTAATTTATTACGAGGATAAAGTTGAAAACAGTTTATAAACTTGAATAAATCACATTATCTGTATTCTACCCAAACCCTACCATGTTTATTTTATTACAAAGTTTGTCGGACAACTCCACTACTAACGACAACCAACCGGTCCAAATAATACAGCTCCAACTGATTAATTGTTTAATCAATATCCCATACTAATCTTGCTTAATACCTAACCGGAAATAATTTATAAATACGCATATATTTATTATATTTGTAGGTTTGTTATGATGTGTTAAAAACTAAATTGTATTATTAAAATTTAGGAGAGTAATTTTAACTTTTAATACATTAAATATGAATTATAAGTACAATATATATTCATAAGTTAACTTATTATGTTAGATGAATATTATATTGTATTTAAATTGATATTTAATAATTAATAACTAAACTGATAAAAGAAACTTAACGAATACAATATTAATATTTTAAACTTCATTACAACGTTTCAAAAACTTAAGGACAAGTGCTAGATTTCATGCTAGACAAAAGTCGTGGTGGGATTTGAGTAGGGATAGTAAACGGGTACAGTTTCGTGGATTCCGCACCGCATCCGTTCCAATTGGAGCGGGGATGGGTATAATTTTAGCGGGTAGTAGGCGGGTGTGGATTTATAAAGTGGTACCCGTCGTGGGTGGTGGGCGGGTAATGTGTTTGAGATATTACCCGCCCCGCATCCGCCCGCCCCGCATCCGCCCGCCCCACATCCGCCCGCCCAGCTAAATATCTATTAAATTTTGGACCATTATGAATTTAGGTGTAATTTTAGAGACTAATTTATAAATTTTAATAATATATAATATATAACATATAATTTAACTAAATATTAAGGATATTTAGTCTTTAATCTGGTATTTAATTAGTGAAATATTCAGCTCTTTGTTCTTTAGCCCCTCAAAACCCATATTAGCGCACTATGAGCATTAACATCGAAGCAACACAACAATCCAGCTCTGCGACTACATGCTCCCTACAATATGTCTCCATAACATTCGTACAGCCACTCCTCTGACAAATTGAAGCATGCGCTGCTATCCCATCACGAACTGTCTGCGAACCAACTCCAACATCTCATTAGTTTGTTGTCAGGCGGGTCTAGATGGATATGTCGCTAGTGGGTAGTGGGTGTGGGGATGGATTTGAAAATGTACCCGCGTGGGCGGGTGTGGATTTGAAAATTTGTCCCCATCATGGGTGGTGGGCGGGTGGTGGATTGAAAAATAGTAGGTGGGTATGGGGATGGGGGATGGGGTATCCGCACCCGACCCGCCCGTTTGCCATCCCTAGATTTGAGTGTGTTTGAGTGGATAAATAACCATTTTCATCACTTGATTTTGATGATATTTATGTTTCAGTCTTTTAGTTTTTAAAGAAAATAATTTGCTTACTACACTTTTGAATTATTCTATTTTTCACTCTACCATTATAACTAATGACACGATCAAGTATAGATTTTTTAAATTATGAAAATTATCAAGAAAAAATATTCATTTTTTTGTGAAAAATCATTGGTTTTGAATTACCTTTGATCTTCAATGATGGAACATATTTTTCCAAATCCCAACAATAGAGAGATGAAGAAAGAGGAGACTGTAAATCAAATTAATTTTTCATTTTAAGTTATATTTTGTAAGTTTTAATTTTTTTTTGAGAAAATCTAATATGATAAATGATAATATACGATAAGACAAATCCATTAATATCTTCTATAGGATTGAAGAAGACATTAAAAATTGACAATGATTGTGGCTTTTTCACTAGAAAAATACATTTTAAGTCGGTATAAAACCTTATATTTCATTATGTTTTTAATTTAACATGATAAAAACGAATAATGCTAAAATTTAGTGATTAAATTGAAAACAATTACAATTTAATGATGAAAATAAATAAGGTCAAAGTCGAGTGATGCAATTTGTAGTTTACCCGTGTTCGATTTTTTGACTGCTTACCTAATCATACACCCTACTGATTCTTGGTTTCTGGTTTCTTGGGTCAAAACTCAAAACTCTTAAAACGGAATAAATTCACGTGCAAGCGAGACAGTGTGAGGCTGTGAGCAGAATTTAACTTGTTATTTTGATGTTTCCTAAGCTCCACTTAGTTTCTGTAGGTCTTAAAATCAAACTTGTCTTCCAAAATCCGTAAAAACAATGACCACCCTTTGAATCTTCTTCTCTGAAACCCTTCACTTATCTCTAACATCTCAAAAAACCTCTGCTTTTCTCAGGATATGGAAACTAATAGCAAAAACCCAGTCTCTGTTTCTCTCGTTTCATTCATCTTTCTTTTGTGTACTTTTGCTCAGTTTTGCTATGGAGTTGACACAATCAGACAGGAACAAACGGTAGCAGATGGTGACACCTTGGTGTCCGAGAATGATACTTTTGAACTGGGTTTCTTCAGTCCTGAAAACTCAACACTCCGTTTTTTCGGTATCTGGTACAAGATTGATGTTAAAACAGTTGTTTGGGTTGCTAATAGAGACAGTCCAATATCTAACAGAAATGGTGTTTTGAGGATTGGTGTTGACGGTAACCTTGTTGTTCTAAATGGAAACGACAGTTTGGTCTGGTCGTCTAATGTTTCAGGTTTATCGAACAACTCCGCGGCAGTTCTTCAGAACACAGGGAACCTTGTTCTATCAAACAATGAAAGCATCGGTGATACCAGTAGAGCTCATTGGCAGAGCTTCGACGAGCCAACCGATACATTTCTTCCCGGTATGCGAGTTCCGGTGAATTCCGCTATCGGCGAGTTCCGTGTTTTCCGATCATGGAAATCGGCAAGTGATCCTTCACTAGGGAACTACACCATGGGTGTTGATCCTAACGGAGGACCACAGATTATAATATGGGATCGTATGACGAGGCGGTGGCGAAGCGGGCAGTGGAATTCAGTGATTTTTACAGGCATTCCCAATATGAGTAACATCGCTAGTTTCTTATATGGATTCAAGCTCTCTCAGCCTGATGAAAATAGGACACAGTATTTCACATATGATCCTTCGGACCCTTCGGATTTTTTGCGGTTTCGGCTCGGCTGGGACGGGAGGGAACAGCAGTTGAGGTGGGATGTTGATCGGAAAACGTGGACGGTGCTGGAAACACAGCCTGCCCCTGATAACATATGTGATCTTTATAATCATTGTGGGAATCATGCTGTATGTGACCACTTGAAAGCTCCGGAATGCAATTGTTTAGAAGGTTTTAGGCCAAGGATTTCAGATCAGTGGAGTCGAGGGGATTGGTCCGGTGGTTGCGAACGGAGGGTCGAACTGCAGTGCCAGAGGACTAATGGTACTAATACTACCGCAAGGCAAAATGGTGAACCGGATGGATTTAAGGGAACAAGGAGAGTGAAGTTACCAGATTCATCAAGGTTGTTGCTGTCTGCAATGAACATAGATGCTTGCAAATCAAGTTGCTTAGGGAATTGTTCGTGTAGTGCCTATGCATTTGTTTCTGGAATCGGATGCATGATATGGGAAGGAGATTTGGTTGATCTTCAGCATCTGGACCAAGCTGGAAATTTACAGTTCTTTTACCGCATCCATAATTCCGAATTAGGTATGCTGCATCGATAATTTCAATTTCTTGCTCAGGCTTCTTGTGAACTGCATCATGTTAGTGGGCTAAATAGCTCATTTGAACATCAGCTCCGCTGCATCTCACTGCATAATTCTGAACCAAGGTTGAATCTTGTACAAGAATTCGATGTGTACTATTAAATGTTGAAGCAATAATTTGACATGAGACATCTTGTATGAGCTTTTCTGATAGATTAACACTGTTTATTTTCACTTCAACTGTAGATGGAGGTTCGAAGATATCCAACACAGTGATAATTATAATCTCTGTGTCGGGGGCATGCCTCTTGGTGATATCTATATGGCTACTATGGAGATACAGGAAAAAAGTTAAACGTTTGCCTGTAGTTTCATCGATGCCTTGTTGCAAGGACGTTGATGTAGCAGTATTTAACGAGTCCAAGACCAAAGACTTTTCCGCAGATGTATCAGGACCAACCGACATACTTATCGACGGGAATCAAGTTAATGGACCGGAGTTAACAATTGTTAACTTCAGTAGTGTAGAAGCTGCAACAAAGAACTTTTGTGAAGCAAACAGGCTGGGGCAGGGTGGTTTTGGTACCGTATACAAGGTGAATTCGTTTAGCTAATAACAGAGTTCTAATGTATAATGTTATAATTAGCGATCAGATTGACGATAATAATGCTTATCGTTTACATTTATTGCCAGGGAGAGCTGCCTGGAGGTCAAGAAATAGCTGTAAAGAGGCTTTCGGGGACGTCAGGCCAAGGGCTAGAAGAGTTTAAAAATGAGATTATCTTGATTGCTAAACTACAACATAGGAATCTTGTTAGACTATTAGGCTGCTCCATCGAAGGGGAAGAAAAGATGTTGATATACGAGTACTTGCCTAATAAAAGCTTGGACTACTTTCTTTTCGGTATTTTCCGCATTATGCTCGGATTTTCATTAGTTTTTGTACTAAAACATATAATTTACTGATAACTTTAATGGCAGATGAATCCAAGCGAGCGCTGCTAGATTGGAGAACCCGGTTCAGCATTATCGAAGGCATTGCAAGAGGACTACTTTACCTCCATCGAGATTCGAGACTTAGAATCATTCATAGAGACCTGAAAGCCAGCAATATTTTGTTGGATGCAGAGATGAATCCGAAGATTTCGGATTTTGGTATGGCAAGGATCTTCGGGGGGAACCAAAATGAAGCAAATACAGTTCGAGTAGTCGGCACATAGTAAGAAAAAACAACACAAGTTCATAGATATCAAATTACAATGAAAGAACTAATCATTTATGTTTCTGATCTTAAAAATGCAGTGGATACATGTCTCCTGAATATGCAATGGAAGGACTGTTTTCGGTCAAGTCCGATGTGTACAGCTTTGGAGTACTGTTGTTAGAAATCATTAGCGGCCAGCGAAATACTAGCTTCCGATCATCCAATTACACGAGTCTTATAGCATACGTAAGTACAACTGCATGCATCATTTATATCCAAGCAACTGGATTTCGTTATTGAATTTTCCATGCTAAAATGTATTTTTGATGAACTTGTTTTGTCAAGGCATGGAGTCTTTGGAACGAAGATAAAGCTATGGAGCTCGTCGACCCTTTGATTCAGGATTCATGCTCGCCAAACGTAGTGTTGAAATGCATACACCTAGGCATGCTGTGTGTGCAGGACTCGGCAATGAACAGACCGACAATGGCTGCCGTGGTGTTGATGCTGGAGAGCGAAGCCCCAACGCTGCCGATGCCGAAACAGCCCACTTATACCTCCATGAGTAGCTTGGTAGATGCAGATTACAGTATGGATATGCATGAAACTGCTTCTGCATCTTCCAAAGATGTCACGGTGACAATGGTAGATGGAAGATAGATTTTGTATTTGTTAACTTCATCTGCATTGTTTTGAGATGTTGATAGAATATACATATTCTTTGCAGTTTTCAAAGGATATACAGACTTCAATGAGATTGAATTGTAATTATGATTTTTTTTTGTTTCAAAGATTTTGTAATGGGGAGTGGGTGACAAAATGTATTTTATTTTAGTAGTGATTTATACGTTTGGCCATTTCATCATTAACTTTACGTTAAAAGAGAGTTTATTAGCATGAAGAATTTTTTTATATGATCGTATTTTCCTTTCTTAATTTCAGGGGCGAATTTATTAACTGCCTTTTTAATAATGAATTTAATGGTTCAATGCAAATGTTAACTACGTTACATATACTACACTTCAAAACAGCCGGTTTGGTACAAATTGTTTTACATAAAATAAAAGCAAATGAGAAACTATATATAGAACCATGAACCCTTTAACATTTCATCAATAACAAACGAAAAAAGAAAACAATGAAAGTGGTGGCATGTACATGGATGCTACTCTCTATGTGCCTTTTGGGGCATTGTCTCTTGGTTTACGGAGAAGACAATGAGGCTCAAGTCCTCGATGACTTTCTCAATTCCCGCTTGTCGGAAAAACCATCTCCGGTGATTCGTTTTTCGGCAAGGTTTGATGTAAACACAGATAGCATCCAGCCTCAAGATGGATCCATGGAGACCGATAAAATCAGTGCATTGCCGGGACAACCTGACGGTGTTGATTTCAACCATTATTCAGGATATGTCACTGTTGATTCCGAGGCTGGTAGAGCTCTTTTCTACTATTTTGCCGAGTCCCCCGAGAACTCTTCTACAAATCCTTTGGTTTTATGGTTCAATGGAGGTACGGTTCATTAATTATTCGTCCGGTTTACACTCGGCTTGGTTGATCTGATTTCAGGCAATTTCAGGACCAGCATGTTCTTCGTTAGTCGGCGCGATGGCGGAATTAGGCCCTTTCAGAGTAAACAGCGACGGCAAGACACTTTTCCGCAACAATTATGCATGGAACAATGGTCTAACTTCCATTTAATCGTTGCTTTACATTTATGTAGCTATGATAATAAATTTAACTATATTTCAATTCAATTTCGACAGTGGCGAACGTAATCTTCGTAGAATCTCCGGCTGGAGTAGGCTTTTCGTATTCGAATACGACCTCGGATTATCAGAGTATGGGTGACAAAAGTACGGCAAAAGATGCCTACACTTTCATCATCAACTGGCTTGAGAGGTTCCCTCAGTATAAAACCCGAGATTTGTACGTTGCCGGCGAGACTTACGGTGGCCACTATGTGCCTCAGGTTGCGAAAATTATTCTTCATAAAAACAAGAAATCAAATCAAACACTAATTAACCTTAAAGGCATCGCGGTATGTTGGAATCAATATTTACTACTCTAATCTTTTTATTTTTTAAAAAGTATTCTTTGACATAAATTGGAATATATTTTCAGGTTGGGAATGGTGTGATCGATGATCGTACAGCCCTTCTAGGCCGATATGATTATTTTTGGACACATGCCTTGAATTCAGATGAAACTAACAAAGGGATCCACACCTATTGCCATTATTTTGATGATAGAGATCCAGAACAATGTGCAAACTTCATAATCAAATCCAGTACTGAGCGTGGTCATATTGATGAGTACAACATTTATACCCCACGTTGTCAACTCAATTCTTCTTCATCCATAAAAATCTCATCGGATTCGGTAAGACAATACATAAAAACCCAAACGTGAAATATATGATCTCTTCAACATGAACCAATTGAATTAAATCACATGTTCCTTGGTTTATATAATCATATGAATCTTATTTCAGACTAATTTCGATCCATGCTCGAACCACTATATGTTATCTTATTTGAATAGAGCAGCCGTTCAGACAGCTCTCCATGCAAAGGCTTCTGCGTGGGAAATATGCAAGTATGATCTTGCTTCTGTGTCTTGGATTCTAATTTAAGTAAATCTAAACGTAACCATATTATATTATTTCACTCAGCCGCTCGATTCTTAGTGGCTGGACTGATACTGCTGTAACTAGTTTACCCATCATCAAGAATCTCATGTCAAATGGCATCAGAATTTTGTTATACAGGTAAAACCTCAATTGTTTCTTCCCATACGTTTCGTTCAATCTGTCATATAATCATTATCGACATTCGATGGATTTGAAATTCGATTATTTTGCAGCGGTGACTTAGATTCGACATGTCCGGTTACCTCAACCAGATATGCCATAAACAAACTCAAGCTTCACATCAAGTCTGCTTGGCGTCCATGGTCCACGGATAAGGAGGTAAGAGCAAAACCGAAACACCAACATTGTGTTAATTATAGTGTTCAAACCTTGTATTATAACATTTCCCCCCCCCCCCCGAAATTATCAAATCAAAACAATCAGGTCGGAGGATATGTGGTGGAATACGATGGTCTGACGTTTGTGACGGTACGAGGCGCCGGTCGTTTAGTCCCAAGCTACCAACCGGCTCGTGCTCTTACCATGATTTCCTCATTCCTCGAAGGAGCTTTGCCTCCACCATTTTTAATTCAGAACAATAGCTGAAGATGATTATGTCGATGCTCGCTTACAATTTTTCAACTAATAATTATGTGTATGAGACATATTATTCTAATAACCAGTAAATGCAATGTCCATTGATCAATCATTTTTCTTAAAGCCATCAAATAGTACAAATGAAATTTTGAATAATGAAAATAAGATCATACAAGGAAATAGCTAGAAAAATCAACCAAATAATTTGAAAAATAAAAGATACTAACACTGTTATTAGAGTTTTTTTTCTTCCTTTGCTAGTATCATCGACGTAAACATAAAAATGAATATGCTGATGACATCACATTGACAATTGTTTTTATCACAACTCCAATAAAATCTTTTTGAGGAGATTATGAGCACCTACCAATATAATAGTTTGAGGGTCCAAATGTAGATCAATAAGATAATTAAATAAACATCAATACGTCAAATCAAACTTTGAAAAAGAAAAAAATACTATAAGAGAAGATAAAATATACTATAAAAGCATATAAAAAACATCAACTATCTTAATTAGAAAATAGGAAGCCTTATTAAAAAATATAACATAAAATTTCGATTATATAAAAAAAAATAGACATTGAAGAGATATAAAGCGAAAAAAAGAGAAGATGGAAGATAATACAACAATGATTATGATAAAGTACGAATGATAATCATTTTATCAAAGTTCTATCGTATTATCATTCTAATAAACGAAGAGCAAAAACTTAAAAATAAGAAGAGAAAAAAAATCAACTCGATTTGAGATAAGAATTATAATTTAAATATCTAACTAAAAAATATAGTTTATAGGCTTATTATTGAGTTAAGCCATAATTAAATATTCCAAATTATGTTGAACAAGATGAGATTTGTCGATGCTATAGAGGCATAAAAACGAAAGGAAATCAACGGGAATTGACAACCTTGATAATTACAATGCAAATGTTAACTAGGTTACATATACTACACTTTAAAACAACCGGTTTGGTCCAAAGTTTTACGAAAAAATTACATAAAATTAGAGTAAATGAGAAACTATATATATAGAACCATGAATCCTTCAACATGTCATTAATAAGCAATTTTCACTATGAGCATCGCCTTTCCCACCCAACTTACCTCCACAATTAGGTCCAAAGCTGATTTTAAAGCAAGCAACTTCGCTTGAATAGGTGTTTTATTTTTTATGGTAAATGTATTTTTCTTAAAAGTTACGAAGTATATATAAATACAATTATAATTATAAATACATATAATAGACATGCATTTGAATAATTATCATCGGAATTAATTTATATTTATTAGTATATGTAGTACTTTACTAGTTGGATTTGGACTATTTTACCTACATAAACGCCTAACGGCCATAAGGCAGGCCTCATGGTTCACGTTCCTTGATCTATTTCTACGATAATGAAGGGAAGGTAAAGGTCTCACGTTTTTATTTTTTATTTTTTTCTTTCATAATAATCTTCATTTTATTAATAAGTTTCAAAGTTGAAATAAACAAGAGAGCCGCACTTTTTGACAATTTATTCCAAAATAAAGTAAGCAAAAATAGAGGTGGAGATTCTTCATTACTCCATCCATCCATCCATCCTTCTCCTTTACCAATTTTCATCCAACATAATAATAGTGTTTAATTTTGTCTCTTATTCTTCCCCTCTTCAAACTTTTAAAAATTATTTTTATTTTTAGCTATTATTTAACTAATAACAACAATTAACTTTATTACATAAATATAATGACTTCACGTTGACGGTTGTATTTATCACAACTCAATCAAAACCTATTTCGAAGGATTCCACTTATCAACATAAGAGTATATGTATGAGAGTTTAAATATACATCAAGATAATCAAAATAAATGTTAGTCAGAGAGACAATGTAAAATTCAAAAAAACGTGTTATAATAGCATATGAAAAATGTCAATCATCTTTATTAAAAGATAACGTGTTATAATAGCATATGAAAAAGGTCAATCCTCTTTATTAAAAGATTAGAAGACTTATTAAATAAAGATACAAAAACTCGAATATATAAACAAAAAGAAATTGAAGAGATAAAAAGGAAAAAGAAGAAGAAGAAGAAATGTAATACAACCCATCAAGAATTATGATAAAACATAAGTGACATTTGTTTGATCAACGGTATTACCATTATGACAAACAAGGAAAAGAAACCTAAAAAGAGGAAGAGAAAAAAAAACTAAGCTTTAATTTTACCACTTTTTAGATATTTAGTTTTTTCTACTTGTTTGATTTAAAAATTAATTTTTTTATTAATTAAAAAAAATTAAATTTTAATAGAGGATATATATTTAATTATGCATTACCAATTAAATTAGATTTTAAACAATACATTTGAATATTGAAATATTATATATTTTTCTAAAACTAATTAACTCTAATTCGTTTTAAAAACATAAAAGTAAAGAGACTAAATTTATGTAACTAAGAGGAGAGTCTGAAAAAATAGCATTTAATTTTATTAAATAAAGAAAAAATATCGTAAAATTATAAGAAGAGTCTATAAAAATAAGAATAAATTAATCACATAAATTAAATATTCTTACTAAAACTATCGAAATACACAAACTAGTCACCCCTAAAACCATTGAAGTACACAAACTAGTGACCTGAGATTAAAAAATGACTATACAAAGAAAGGATTAAAAATTTAACTAAACAACTCGACCATATGATAGATACAAACAAATTCTATTGTCGACGATGAATGATAAAAACTATAAACATTAACATAAAAATACATAGAACAATGACGATTTGTTGATAAATTGACATTACCATAACTCAATAGACTCTTATATTCTATGATTGTAAGTATCTTTCAATATTCAATCCAAAATTTCAATATAGTGATAGATCAACATGATAATCAAATAAATAACATCTGAATATGAAGAGACGACATCATATCTAACCTCAAGAAAAGAGAAAAGACATACAACAAAAGTAGACAAAGAACATGCTACAAGAGCAATATAATAGGAAAAGAGATAAGAAATAACATAACTCGAATTAAAGGAGGGTCGAATTATGATTATCCATTCAAATTAAAAAAAATGAAATTAAATATTCTTAATCTTTTTTTTTATGAAATAAAGATGAAAAAGTTACACGAATTAAACTCTTCTGTCAAAACACAGCCAACAGCTTCTTGTTGCACCAAGTTGACGACTTCCATTGGTGGAGTGGTGAAAATCATGTGGACTTCGCCCCTCGCTGTAGTTAACTTCGCTAACGTATCAACCACCTTGTTTGCAGCCCGGTGAATATGCTTCAAACCCACATTCCAATCCCGATGTAACAACCCCTTAACACAATCTAGGAGCGTGATGATCGAAGCTCTTTTATAACTTTCCTGCAGCATTCGAACAACCTCCAAACAATCAGTTTCCACCATTATTTGCCTCTCCCCAAGATTCCAAGCATGAGAAAGTCCTTCATGAATACCCCACAATTCCGCTTCAACAATAGAGTAAATTATGATCGCTTTAGAGAATCCAAGCATCCAACCACCATTCGAGGATCTAATAACACCCCTACATGTAGCAAATCCATCACCTATTTTTCGGGAACCATCGGTATTAACCTTACACCAATTGAGAGGAGGCGGAAACCAAGGATCAATCGTATTCAACAAACGACGAGAAGATTGAGCTAATGATAAGGCTGAACCTAATGCACTACTAGCTTCACGGCTTAGTTGCCTACCCCGCACTAGTACGGAATCATTCTCAATGTACTCCGGGTCAAAAATCCTTCTATTCCGATCCTTCCAAATTAACCACAGAATCGAACCAAACAATAAATTCCAATCCCCTTCTTCTCTCGCATAAAACTTCGGGAAAGCGATATTAATCTGCACCCATTCTTTAAGATCTCTTGTGAAAATATCATCTAATTTTTCATTTTTTATTAAAGATGCCCAAATTACCATGGATGATTGACATTGGCGAAATAGATGATATGTTGTTTCACCCGAACGCCCACAAATTCCACAACAAGAATGAGTGGCCATATGGCGTCTTACTCTTTCCGTATTCGTAAGTAATCGATCCTTCGCTAATAGCCATAAGATCTCAGTTATCCCAAATTTACTTTTTCATTATCGAAAATAAGTCATTGGCCAAAGAGCAATTAAAATCCCAAAATCTGCTTTAATTATTTATAAATAAATCTTAAAGAAATAGGTGTGGATAGGCCTGTTGGGAAGAAGATAGGCTACGTATAAGAACGGAGTCATTAAATTAGAAAGTGTTAACTAATACCAACATTAACAATATCATTGTTTTATTTGGTCCAATTATGGTGTTGGTCCCTCCATTATGTTAAGTCTTCGGATTTAATCCATCTACTTTAATTCAACATACTTTTGTCTCTGTATTTTTAATACTTTTAATAGGTTAAAATTACTAACATTATTTTTGGTACAATAATATATATTTGGTTCAATATTTGTTGACAAATTCAAATTAGATATTATAGTAGTTTATTACGAGAACAACTCTTTAAACTCAATTTATTCCATTCACAACGTCAGAATTCAAATCTCTAAATCGAATGATATTATGTTTAGACAAATACAAACCTATCAACTCATAGATATTAAGATAATAATATAAACCGAGTCAAAACTCCACCATCATTTGGAGGTTGACCTAATAGGTTCTTTTTATAAGAGGTTTACCTAATAGGTTGAGAAATTTAAAAGTATAATAAAATAATATAAAAATGCATTAAGTCACATGATATATTTTTCTTACAAGCCACATAAATTTGGACTTTTAGACAGTTGACTTTAGATGGGAACCACTCGTAACGGAGGGTTGGTGTCGGAAGCCGTTACACGGTAACCGTTGCGTTTACCTTTTCAATCTTCTTTCTTCTCTGCTCTGAGCTTTTAATGCCAAATTAATTTCTTTACTTTTCCACCCGTTTTATCCTTAAAAGTTAATAGCCCCATCAACGGTTTTAAAGATATGACTCAGCAAAGACGTTTCCCAATTTGACCCTCTAGTTCCTTGGCGCCACAAATATGGCTTTTTCTTATCATTAATGAAAGGGTAAACTGCTCCTAAATTTTAGATTATGTGTTCATTGGCTAATAAACTTTAAAATATTTTAATTTAAACACTAAATTGTAGTTTTAAGTTTAATTTTGATACATAATTGTTAAATCGTTAACGGTGTAGTGACGCGATTATTTCTTTCTCATTTTATTATAAAAAATTATCAACTATTTTAATAATCATTGTCGGGCAATCATCACCCCTCATTGATGTGATCACAAAAATATTGACATCAAAACGCTCGTATTTTATTTAAATTTCTTCTTCTCGAATTTGGTTTCCACGAAACTCATTCAAATCCACTGAAAATTCATCAAAATTTTTGATGTTCTAATGCTCTGATCCTCTTCAATGGTCGTCTAATAAGACTATTTTCAAAGTCTGTTGTTTGTCTTCTCAAAAAAAAGACTTCTTACTACTTATTTTTTAACAAATACGTCAAACCCCTCAATTCCTAAAATGTCCTCAAACTCATCAAATGATAGATTTTTTATGTTTAATTTCGTGAATTTTAAATAGGTTTTGAGTAAATCTAAAAAAAAGTGATAGATGACAATGAGATATTTTCGGTGTTCAAGGTGATTACAAAAAATATCAACGAATAATAATTCCTTGTGATGGCTAAAATAGGTGAGAAATTTCTAATTTAGATGAGGATGATTATGAGGTGGAATAAAAAAATATTTTCTTCCAAATCAACACACATTAGTGCCAAAACTACCACATCATCGCATCATATCGATTTAACAGTCCAATGTCGAAATTGAACCCAAAATAAAAATCAATGCTTAAATTGAAGTATTTTAAAGATTAATGACAAGATTGATACACAACTTAAAGTTTAGTGACTAATAGTAATTTACCTTTAGTGAAAATATATGATTGACAACCTCTATATTCTTGATCAATTTAAGTATAATTAAACTAATTGTTTAATATTAGATTAGATTATAATTTTATTAACTAATAATCAAGTGACTTAATCATTGTTTAATTAAATTTGATGTAATTGATCGAATTAATGATAATTTAATCTTAAAATAATAATGAAATAAAACATTAAGCAGTCAAAATATTTGAGACACTAAAATAAAAAAATATAATTTAATCTTAAATTTGTGCAAAATGCGCGTTATTCTATTCCCATTGAGGAGGATATTATAGTCATTTCATCGCTCAGAAACTTACCTTCTTCACTAAACTTCATCTCTCTCTCCTTGCTCAAGTGAGAAACAAAGTTCTTCTCTCTCTCTCTCCACAACTTCCAAAACCTCATAAACCTTCCTTTTTCCCCCGAAGCTCTGAGAAGGAAAGCTGAGGATATTCGTCGAGTTAGAAACGAGATGGCAACTCAGCTCCCTGACGATTTCAAGTGCCCTATATCTCTCGAGATAATGTCCGACCCGGTTATCCTTCCATCGGGTCACACCTTCGACCGAGCATCAATCCAACGATGGCTAGACGCCGGCCACCGGACTTGTCCGATTACCAAACTTCCCTTGCCTGAACACCCTTGTCTTATCCCGAACCACGCCCTCCGCTCCCTAATTTCCAACTATACCCTCGTCGCTCCTTCAAAGTCACAGCCTTGCCCTCAACCCCAAACCCTCATCTCTGCTCTGACCTCTCCATCGTCCCCTCTCGAAACCAAGCTCAAGTCGCTCACACAGCTCGCCAGACTCACCAAACATGACTCAGCACTTCGCCGTAAACTAACCGAGTGGGGAGCTGCCCCCGCGGTTCTCAAGTGTGTCGACTCGGAGGAATCGAATTTACAAGAGAAGTCGCTCTCTTTACTCCTTAATCTCAGCCTAGATGATGATAACAAAGTGGGTTTAGTCGCGGAAGGCGCGATTAACCGGGTCGTCAAGGTCTTACGTCTGGGGTCACCCGATTGCAGAGCCATAGCTGCAACGATTATAACCAGCTTGGCTGTCCTGGAAGTCAATAAAGCGACGATAGGGGCATACCCGGATGTGATTCAGGCATTGGTTTGGCTTCTTATTTCAGGGCAAGGAAGGGAAAAGAAAGAGGCCGCAACTGCTCTCTATGCACTCTGTTCATTTGCTGATAACAGATGGAGAGCTATAGATTGCGGGGCGGTGTCGATACTGGTCCGATTATTGGATTCCGGCTTGGAAAGGGCGATTGAAGTGTTGGGATTATTGGTGAAATGCAAAGAAGGGAGAGAGGAGATGATGAAGGTTAATGGGTGTGTCAAGGTTTTGGTTCATGTTTTAAGGAATGGGACCTCAAGGGGAGTTCAATATGGACTGTTTACATTGAATTGTTTATGCAATTGTTGCGAAAGGCTTTGTTTCGAAGCGATGAACGAAGGAGTTTTGGAGATTTGTATTGGGTTAATGGAGGAAGAGAACGAGAAGATAAGGCGATACACTTCAAGTTTGATTCAGACTCTCAGAGACAATCATGCTATCGGATGAATCCAACAAAGCTTTCAGCGTTGGAAATGGAGGTGAGTTGTTGTTGTTCAGTTCATAGTTTGATTGTACAATAGGAAACACAGATTAGATTTTTGTATCCATGTATATCTGAAATAAAGGCCAGGCATGGTGAAAGGGAGGGCTTGCTGGTTCTCCCTTGTTAAATGTTGTAGTGAAAAAGAAAAAAAAAGTTCAAAATTTTTGTTACTTCAGTTACAATTGTGTATTGATTTAGAAAATTTCTTGTTGATTGAAGCATGCTCCTGCTATGTCTTTGATCTCTTTTCGATTCCGAAACTTGTTAAAAAGAATTCGAAAATACTAAAGCATTGAACTTGAGCAATGGTATACTTTGATAAGCTACCATAGTGTTTTTTGTTTGCTAATTTGCATGTTGCAACCATTTGAATGAGACTTGATACATTCTTTCATCAGTTTGCTAATTTCTGATGTTGTGATTGCTTAACTATTTATAGGTTCTAAATGTTGATTAACAAATATGAACACCTAAAGGGTCCGTTACGAATACGACATTGGGCCTTTCGGCTTGGTAGTTTTTCTCCAAGGATAACTTGGATTGTGCAGATTGTAATGTAGCCAAAAATGAACCTTTTACACTTTTTATTGTTAAGCATAAGAAGAAAAGCTTACCCTACCTTGATTTAGACTTTAGATTATATAAATAGAATGGGGTATGCCTATGCACATAGTTGTTATTGTAAGAACAAACTAGGAACGCTGAGTGAGTAAAACAACTATTGTTTGTGCAAACCTAGTTTCTCTGCCTGGCTATGTGAGAAGATGATTGGTTCGTTCAAGCGGTTCAATATCCACACGTTATAACTTGGTCCGATTCCCTGTTGTGAATTGTGATCTTAGAGACGAGTCATGAATCTTACATCGGCTGTGTATGTCTGAACATAGCATGGTATTATGAAACTCGGCATGCGTTTTAAAAGTTTTTTTTTTGTAAAAAAAAAGGCATGAATTAACCAAAGTGCAGTTGTCTGGTGAAAGAAGCAAAGTTTGTGCTTTTACTTTCTGCATTTCATATTATAAAGAAGAAAAGTGATCATTGTCGGTCCAATCCAACAAGCAGTACATTTTTTTTTACTTTATAATGTTTAACATTATATTTCTTCTTTTTCTTTTGTTTGATGGCGACATAGATCAAGTGAACAAACCAAATCATGCAACAAAGAGAGCTTTGCCTAGTGTAAAGGCAGCACTTGGGTTACTTTTGTTCATGATCTGCCCAACTTGAATTGCAAAAGTGCAATTTCATCTTTGTTGAATCATTTGGTTGGTCTTTTGGGCCTAATAGGTCACCGACGATAAGTCATTGGTTTGTGTTTATAAGCCTTTGGGCCTAGGAAGAAGAAGTGTTTTACGGCTAAAGTTGAAATTAGGAGGGATAAAATTCGAGTCGGCTCGAAAAAAAATTATTATTTTTAAAATTTTGAGTTATTTGATGAAATTTTTTGTTCAGATTTCAAGCCCGGGTCAAGTTTGAATTTGTAAAGTTTGAATAATCGAAAAATCATAAATTAAAACTGACATCATTATAAGATTTAGTTAAGTAATTTGATTGTTTTGTGATTTAATCCTAGATATTTATATTTCTTCAATTATACCTTCGTTTTAAGTCTATTTTGACTCAATTTGAACAATATGCTCTTCAACTAGTTTAGAATATATGTGTAACTTCAATTCTTCTTTTTGACAATAAATGTTCTCCTTTTGCAATTTAATCCCTCAATTTTATATTTATTCAATTTCATTCTCTAACTATAGTACACAATCTTTCTTCTCATCAATTTACTTGATTCCTTTATACTTTCATCAATATTTTATCTTCAAAATTCATTCTTTAAAAAATAATATTATAAATATATTTATGATTTTTATATGATATTTGATTAATTAAATAACATTGTGAATATTGCTTACACATTTGGAACATAATATATATATATATATATATATCATAAATTTTACTTGAATTTTTTTTTAGTAAAATTTGAATGATAAAATGGTACTTATAAACTCGACTAACTCAATTTTTTTTTTCATTTGACTAGATCAAATATTCACCACTAATTGGAGTCCTCTCAAAAAAGACTTCCTTTCGATTTATAGGCTTAAGTGTATTTTCTATCTATTCGATTGACTCATAAGTGGAATGACTCCCTAAAAAGTTTTATCTTTTATTAATAAATAATTAATAAATAACCTGATTTATAGAATTACACTATAATTTAGTTTTAGTATTATCAATTAAAATTTGAGTCAATGTCTTATACTTACAGGCCTAATTATAAATATGTGCTAATTGAAACCTAATAATGAATCACAAGGAAATATTGTACTTATGGCCATGGAAAAGAAGATAAAGGTGGGTTAGGGGCAAGAGAAGGCAGCTACTGTATTTAATCATCCAGAACGTACATTATAGGGTTTGGGATTTGGGGTACATATGCTCAACAAAAAGTTGTGGACTTGAACGTCACCTCTTTTGACCATGTGGTAGTTTTCGTGGTGGTTTACCAACAGTTCCCTTGGTGCAACATGAAGCAAGCAACCTTCCATGATACAATCAATCTCCCAAAGCCAACCACCAAAAAGCAGCCCAAATTATAGCCATGATTATGTAATAGGAAGTTCTGGTAAGTAACTCATAAGTGGTCTTTGTCATAAAAAAAAATGTTGTTCTTAAAAAATTCGAGTTCGAACAGTTATATATATAAGGTGTTTGCTGTCAATGATTAAGAAAAAATGTAAACAAATAATTTATACCCTCTCTAATCTCCTTTTTCACATGTTATTATTCTTAAATATTTTATTATGCATTTATGAATTGAAATTATACAAATTCTTTTTAAGAAAGCTTCTCCTCTTGGGTAAGTCTATGATAGGTTAGCACATGGTATTTTAAGCTTAGAAGCTATATCACGTACCTAATGAGTCGATGCCCAAGCTTTATGAATTAATGGTGTTTTATTAAAGACAAATTAGGTATAACTACTACCCAAATACATGGATTAAACACTAATTAGCCGTATATGGTTGTTTGATTACAAATTTTCTTTTGAAAGACTCTTGAAAAGTGGGTTTTCATTTTTGGGTTAATTCCAACCAACATCCTCAAACTATGATCCGTGGTTTAAATTGATTCTAAAACTTCAAACATTTTGATTAAATCCTCAAACTTTTTGTCAATCTATGATAGGTTAAGCTTTAACTATAAACTTTCAATTACACCATAAAAAATTGACATCTTCTTTATTATATTGTATTATTAAGGACTTATTTAGATATAACCAAACTTTCAGTAGCGCTAAACTTGGGCTTAACTTCAATTATATCAAAGGGTTGTTAAAATCTAGACAATGTGATAACATGGATATAACGACATCATTTTGGTGCGGTTATTGACGTTTAAAACGATGTCATTTTAAGCACTAAAGTTTAGGACTGCATCGATTTTGTCACTAAACCTTCAAACAATTCACTATTTAAAATGTTTATATTTCATTCATCTTTCTTCTTCTAAGATTAGTTTTCCACGAAACCCGTCTAAATTTGATAAAATTAAACCCAAAAAAAATCTATCATTTTTAGGGATTTAGGGCTTTCTCAAATTTGAGTGGTTTGGGATGTTTGATCGAAAATTTGAATGACGAGAAGCATTATTTCAAGAAGAACAAGAACATACCTCAAAACTAATCTCATCATACTGTTATTGGAGGAGAACAAAATATTAGCACGTCAAACCCTTAGATGGGATTTTCATCATTTTGAGTGAGTTTTGTGGAAAACCAATCCGATGAGAAGGAATATGAGTGAATTGTGAACATTTCGATATTGATCTTGCCATGAATTGTGACCGTGACAAGTGATGGCTGGCTAGAAAAGTTCAGTGTCAAAAAGTTTAGTGGCAAAATTGATACACTCCAAAAGTTCAGCATATAAAACGATGTTGATTTGGGCATCAATAGCCTCAAGTCATTTTGTTCACATCATCACAGTGATGGAAAGATATGTCTATGTCATCATGCCATTAAAATTTAATGGTCCGATGATATAATTGAAGTAAAAATCAAAGTTTAGTTCCATAATTAGAGAAATCAAAATTTAGTGGTATAAATGATACACCGCTTATAGTTCATTGCTATCTTGTGTAGTTTACCCTATTATGTAAGCCAATTTCTCCTTAATTTTCCTAGCGAGAGTGATTGACAAAAGAAAAGGCCACATTATATTTCTTTAAACGTCACTATAATTCTTTAAATAAAGGGTCTTCCTTCCTCTCCCTCCCTGCCTAAAACAGAACATTTCCATCAACCAACCAAAAGAAAAGCTTTCAAAAGCAAAGAAAACAGAGCTAACCAAAAGACAAAATGGTTGCCAAAGTATACATTGAGTAAGAATTCTATCTTGTTTCTTTGGGGTTTGCTCTTCTTTGAATCTGTTGCTATGTTGCTGGTCTTGCTCTGTTTTTTCTTTTCTCCTGCATTTACTGGTGAGATCCGTTTGTTAAGTGTATGGAAATATATTGGTGTCAAATGTTTCACTTTTGAATTTGATTCTCTATTTGCTTATATGATTCTTTATGAAAGATCCAAAAATGCCATCTTTTAGTTGATGGCAGTGAAGACTGCGAACCACAACAGAGAAACACAGTTGAAATTTGGCCGTATCGACATGTATCGTTTGGATCAAGTTTGAAATTTTGGTTAGATTTTAATGCGTGTAGAGCATGATTTGTACTTAATATGAGTAAGCTGTGTTCAATTATCCAAGGGAAAAAGACCAGACAGAAATTGCTCTTATTTAGCAAGAAACCAAAAGAAAGTGATGGTGAAACATGACCTACCATTGAAATTATAATGAGAAACATGGTCCCAGCGGTCCATTATTATGGTAACTCGGTTTCTTTTATGCGTGTAATTTACAAAGTGGCTTTCATTTTCATGGCTTTTAATGCTTGCAGATAAGCTTATATAATACATCTTCAATATCACCTTTTGTTTTCCCTTCTAGAAAGAAAACTGTTTATGTAGAGGATATGGGGCGTCCCATCATCCACTTTCTTTCTTTTTTGTTTTTTTGATTGAAGATCTTAAGGTGTCCGGTAATCATACGATTATATTCAAAGAATATTAAATTCATTATCACGCGATCTAACGGATGTTGTCGTTGCAGTTACTATTCCATGTATGGACATGTTGAGAAGCTGGCCCAAGAGATTAAGAAAGGAGCTGAATCTGTTGTGGGTGTAGAAGCCAAACTTTGGCAGGTTTGATTATCCTTACTATGGCTTATTTAGTTGGATTATTTGTTCCGTTCATTTCGGGTTTAGATTATTATGGATTTGAATCATTTCCTAATGGAGTTAAGAAATGCTTTTTTCGAGTTGGAATTGATAAGTCTAGTTGAGCATAAACAGGTTCCGGAAACACTGCCGGAGGAAGTTCTTGGAAAAATGCACGCACCACCGAAGTCTGACGCCCCTATCATTACACCAGACGAGCTCTCCGAGGCGGACGGTGTGCTTTTCGGCTTTCCTACTAGATTTGGTATGATGTCTGCACAGTTCAAAGCTTTCATGGACTCAACCGGTGGTCTGTGGAGAACACAGGCCCTGGCTGGCAAACCAGCTGGGATTTTCTATAGCACTGGTTCCCAAGGAGGTGGACAAGAGACTACCCCGTGAGTAAATTTGTTCCATTTGACTATTTACAAAGTATTAAAATTAGTAACTTCCAAAATAACTTCTAATGGGGAGAATTTTCTTTTTGCAGCTTAACTTCAATCACTCAACTTACTCACCATGGTATGCTTTTTGTGCCCATTGGATATTCCTTTGGTGCTGGTATGTTCGAGATGGAGCAAGTGAAGGGTGGAAGTCCTTACGGTGCTGGAACTTTTGCCGGGGATGGATCGAGACAGCCGTCGGAGCTCGAGCTAGCACAGGCTTTCCACCAGGGGAAGTATTTTTCTGACATCGCAAAGAAGCTCAAGGGAACAGCTTGATGATATTTCACTTAATATTCCACTTTATAAGCATGTGTTTGTTTTTTTTTTCACCTTTTTCATTTGACTTGCTCGACATCTTGTCACAGACTTGCATTGTTTCTTCAAGAATAAATCAGTGGATTTATCTCCATTATTATACATGAAAGTACCAATTCAACGCCCAAAGATGAAAAGAATCTGTATATAATAATGGCCATCAACAGATCAATTCCAAGTCATCAAAAGTTGAATTAAAAAGAAAGCTGGTGGCAAGACAATACATCAATCAAGAATATAACAATTAAAAAGTACTTTATTTTGTTTAAAAAATAAGAAAAATTAATGACTAGTCACTTGTCACAGGTGATTCTTCAACATTAAGCTTCCTTGGATTCTTGATATATTAAGCTCTTTAATATGTTCTCTCTGATATTTATCATTATTTTTCTCTTTGGCATTACTTAATAAACTTGCATTATATCTTGTGATTAGATATAGGTGCTGTTGAAAGCACAAGGGAAAAATAGATTTTAAAGTGATCTGATCAATGGTAAAGATTCATATAGATTGAAAGAAGTAAATAGTTGAGTCTTAGTGAGCCTCCTACGTATATAAAGTGTGATCGAAAATTTTATTATCTTGTAGAATTTCTAGATGAGTTTGATGTAACTCGAGTGTTATCTTGATATTAAATATATAAGATATTGACGTTCATGCACGAGTGTGATTGAAAAATTAATGCACAAACCCCCGTAGTTTTGGTGGTGAATGAATTGTTGTATTTCTAAAAGTTTCGGGTTCAAACACAAGAAATGTCAAAATACGAGTCTTCAATTTCAAAAGGTTGAGAATTATCTTTAAACATATATTAGTATGTACTTACCCCATTTTAATCATGAAAAAAAAATCATAAAATTATAAATTTGATCCTTAATAATTCAATAAATAACAATAATATTCCTTTTAATTTAAAGGGGTGACTACATAAACATGTAGCCGACAGGAACAAAAGAGGCTCTTTTAGCCCCCACTTCTGCTAACTTCAGCTTCTAATGTCAACAAACAACAACAATACATAGAATTTAATATTAAAAAGTTGAAATTCATGTTGATTTTCGCTGAATTTAGCACTTGTTCCCATTGCTAATCACCTCCAAACTATAATTAACATGTAAAAAAACTTGGATTAATGAGAAAGACAAAGAAAACCTATGGTTATCTTTTTTTTTTCTTTTTTTTTCAAGGGTTGGGTTCCTAATCATTTGCTAGCCCTTCATTGTCATTCCTGCTTTGTAGCAGCTGATCATCTTTGGAGCGGCACTTGCCCCTTTCTCTTTTGTTTTCTTGTAGCTCTCTTTTTAGATAATCTATTACTACTGTAGGAGTTGTTGTACAGCTCCATTTAGCAGGTCTACCTGAAAGTTGCACCAAACGTCGGTGTCCAGAAATCAACTGGGGTCTCAGTGGCAACTGGAAATGTGCTCGACACCGGCACTAAACACAGCCCTCGGCTTCGTAGGTCTTGTTTCGACCCTTCATCTTTCAACTTATCAGTGTTCTGCACGACAAGAGAAAGTTCAATTTGGTCCGAATAAGACAACTTATTTCATTATTAATTGTAATAGTACTAATTGGTGTTTATTAATACCAGTTGTTGTATGGAAGCTGCTGCTTGTTTCATATATGGAGTACTTAATACCTGAAATCGCGTAAAAGAAACATTATTTCGGTCCAAATTTTGAACTTGTTGTATGGAAGTAGGTAGACTGGTAGAGGAACATACATTGACTTGATCATGGAGGAACTTGATGTATTCAATGGCTTCATGTAGAACTGATGCAGTATCAGTCTGCGAAACAACAAAAAACGTACAGATTAACCCAAAGTAAGGATTTCAATTAGGTAGAAGAAAATTCCAAATATTTACCTTTCCGAAAGGTGAAACCAATTGCTGGAGGGCAGTGATTCGGTCCCCTAGCTTCTCTTTCCTAACCTGATCATAAAAAAATACAGTAAATTGATGCACCAGCTTAAAAGTTGGTCAAATTTATGCAGGATGCTACCTTAAAAGTTGGTAATGGCGATGGAGTTTCAAGTCTCGGCCTTTTCGATGGAGCTTCAGTACTACTTCCTTTCTTCATCACTGAACTCGAGTTTTTTCGAACTTCTTCGACATTTGTCTATAAAAACCAATTCCAATGCATGAACAATAAGAATTGTAAGTTTTTATATGCCTCGTCAAATTAATTTTATTAATTTACCTTCGTTGTAGGGCCGGGGCAATTCGGTTTCTCTTCAAACGGCGAGAGCGAAAAGCCGGGTTCAACGTCGTTTACGCATGCTGTAGTCGCGGAGGCGTTCCACAAGGCTGTGTTGTTGGAGAACTGCAAACTACCTGCAGGGTGCTGCTGCTTTGTCAATGCTGGGCTTATGGAAGGAGCATCACCGTAAGTGGCGGTGGAAGGCATATAATTGATTGACTGGTCGTTGAAAAGTGATAGTTGTTGGGGTACTTGTTGTGGATCGGCTTCGAACAAAGTTTGTAACAACATCGACGGCAGTCAGATGAGGCTGAACCTATTGAAAAACAAGCTGATAACCCCTGACAATCTTCACCGGAACTCAACCTTGAACCGGTATCTTCTTGCGGAATCGAATCAAAACACTCGGTTCTCCCATTACTCCGACTGCAAGCAAAGAAGTTAAGAAGATGATGAAACTACAAGGACATGTACTCAACAACTTCAACCACAACAGGTTCATATTTAATCATCACAGAACATCAAATTAATTACTTACAAGGAAGAATGGTTCCAGTCTGATGTTGTGGACGATGAAAGGCCGAATCCCATCATCTGTAAGGTGGAATCAATCAAAATACTGCTGCCACCATTATGATCAGAATCGTTGGACCTTGCCTTCATATCCACCATATCGGGGCCCCATCCGAAGCTTCCGATATCACCAAACAGCGGAGAATTACAACCTGTGAACATGGGTTTCGTCGGATTCCACCATGTTTCTCCACAAATCCCTGCATGAAATTCTTCTGCCATGGCCGGATTTTTTTATTTGTTCTATTTCTTGGCTTGGGTGGGAGCTTGTTGCTTGAGAGTTCAAACGTTATATATATAATGGAATTATTTGTGTGGTAGAGATTGTAATATATATATATGGACAAATGGAAATTACCAGAAGTTGGTTTACATTTCAAGAGATGATTGGACAAATGGGAGAGAAAGCACTTTGAATCGTATTCTTTTCATTATTATCTTAATTAAAGGAAATAAACTTAATTTGTTCCTCCTACTTTTTTTTTCATTTATTTTCTCTATAATGATACAGTGTTGATTAAATTTATCAAATTAAAATTAAGATTAAGTTAAAAGAATTTATAAATAATAAAAATCAAATATGTAATTTGATCAAGTGATATGATCGATAAAATTTATGATTCAATGATCTAAATATAATATACCTCATAGTTAAATGACAAGTGAAGTAGTTTACCTTTTTTAACAAATTAATAGTCTTGTCTTTTGCTTTAATTGTGAATTCACCCTTTCTTTATAAAAGGGTAAAGTACACCAAGGGTCTATAAATTATATAGAAATAATCAACGATCTTTTAAATGTTATAAAATGATCATTAAATGTTATAAATGGTAATATAATAGTCCCTTCCAATATTAAAATAGTAGTAATAAACTTTGTTAAGTTTAAGGATCACTTTATAATACTATAAGTTTAGGAACTATTTTGTAATTTTATGGACTATTTCATAATCATTTAAAAAATTTAATGATTGTTTTATAATATTTAAAAGATTATTAACCAAAAAACTATATAATTCAATGATGTCTAATACAATTTATCCTATTAAAAATAAGAATTTAGTTATTCTATTTTAATTCTTCATAATATTATCTTTGCATATAAAATCATTTTTATTGCTTTAAAGCAACAAAATAGAAGAAGCAAAAGTGGAATTGGTTTAACAACTAAAATGACTCCTAATATATGATCTTTTTCATATTAAGAAGACTTGTAAATTTTTAAAAACACGATAAGTCAACGCCTTAAAGTCAATTCTTTTTTAGTAAAGTGAAATCTTAAAAAAAATCAAATTCATTGTCCACCATGAACCCTAACTCGATTAAGTTATGAGGTAGTTTTTAACGAAACTCGTATGTTTCTTTTCTTTTCTTTTAAAAAAAGTTAGGTATGATCCATGAGATCTAATTTGATTCAAAAAATAATAATTACACTTCTAATATGCTTGACTTTGATACTCCAAAGTCATAATTCATGAATAATCTTGCAACCAATGAATTTTGGTCAATTTCGATACGTATGAGATTTTAAATATACATCCAAATTTTATAATAACTCGTACTTTTATCATTTATTTAATCTTATTATAATTTCCATTTAATATTTTAGTTATTTTTCATTTGAATTAATATTATTCATTCTTTATATAATTTAATGAATTTAAAAAATAAATACTTAAAGGATATAATTTTAGTTTTGATTAATATTAGGTCTTAGGTTCAATTTGAAACAATTTATATTCCTCTCCCTATAAAAAATAAAATATCCAATAATAATTATTAAGTAAAAATTATTTTATAACAATATATAAACTTATAATAAAAATAATTCTTTTTCATAGATTAATATATTTTATATGGATTGCGGCCTAATATTGAGGTAAGATAATATGCGATCAAAGGCCAGAAGAAAATGAGTCAACGTAGGGCCCACGCGGCAATAGCGCGTGCCATGGGACAGGTGGGACCGTGTTTGGCGCTTCCAGAGTCAAAGTACGAGGCAGACGGTCAGCGGGTAAGTAGGAGGTTCTACCTTTATACACCGTAGATGTCTCTTTCTATTGCCTCCTTTGAGTTGGGTTCTTTGCTATTATATAATATATTCATGAATAAAATTTTTTGGAGTTTATTCACATCTAAAATTTTATATATATAAAATTTTGTGTATGATTTGATCATATTATAATGACGTAATAGTGAGGGAATGATGAGGTGTAAGAGATGGCAGGGATAAAGGACAAATATATTTGTATATATTAGTCGAGATGGCATTGCGGCCTAGGTAAAGTAACCCTACGGGAACCACGTTGGGCACCCGGAGGAGGGC